TCAAAACCATAGATTACGTTCTTTAATTCCAGGTGCAAGTTGTCTTATATTCGTATTGTTTATTAGGTTTGGTAATGGGACTTGAACCGTTGTCTATATCATCTCTAATGGTAAAACCTAATAATTCACATTTCGGTCAAGAGTGAGTTTTTTTAGGTTTTAACAAACAAGTTACCGCCGCATATATATTACTTCAATTTTACTATAATTCAAAATCTGTTTGGTTGGATATTAGACTCCTGAATGTGGTATTCAGTGGTACATTCTAGGAAGATAGATCCACAGCACTCTGTTAGATCATCAAGACATTTCTGACATGTGACGATATCCAGTATTTCCGAAAGCAAATCGAACGAGGTAAAACTCGTAGCGTATCGGTAAGAGTACATCATTGAATTGTTAAAAGCCAAATTTTCCTTTCTATCAAAGAGTAATACTAGCTCACTGGTTGTTGAACTTTTAAAGGCCCGAGTTGCGCCCCTTGTTTCATTATTATTTATTGTTTTTTCAAACAAAAAATTTAGCTAAGGAGTTCTTGTCAGTTAATAAGTCATATAAAACACTTTCCCTTGGGATGCAGGATTTAAAATATCATAAAAACCTTCTGCCATGTTTTATCCTGTACTTAATCGCCGTGTACTTTGAATAGTAAATGGATCCCATACTCCAATAGTATCCTCAGGTTTAATTAGTCTGTAGTCTGTAGTGCTCATATTAGATATAAAGATGAATAGACAAGAATTTGTCGAGGTATTCAAATACGACGTACTCTTTTAACAAATGTTTTTTTTTCAAATTAATTCTCTTAAATTCCAAACATGTCAATTATAACCTAAGTGGAGTTTTTTCTCCCTGGAAGTAAAAGTTTGTATTATTCCCAACAGACTTATTACAATTGATTTGTTCATTTTAAAAGTTTCTACCTGATGTTTTGCTTCGACTTAAAAATCAATAAAAATTGTTAGATAGTGGATCATTGACTCTTTATCTATTGTCTAACTTACGATAGACTTTTCAACCACTAAAGGATTTTTTATTTAGATTAAGGACTACAGACGAGACATATTTTTCTTGTACCGTGACAGAACCCATGCCGAATGATTAACATCGTACGTATATTACCAGGCAGAAAGTAGCTTTCTCTCTTAGTGTTCGCTGTGTGCATACCTGAAATATTTAACCTATTCCTCCAGACAGTTTTATGTGTATTATTTAGAAGGTAAAGTGTGATCAATAGATAGTTAGTACAATAGAACGTTAGAAATATGTTTTGTTTCGTGATTTCGCAACAGGCAGTAGGCAGTATGTTCTCTATTGAAGACGTAAAAAACCAAAGACTCCTGAATAAAACTTGAAATCCAAATTAACAGTTTGACTACATATTGGTAGCAGCAAATGAACTTTGAGGAATTATATCAGTTATAAATGAGGAAATATTAAAGCTGAAACTATTTCTAAAATATGCTTTGTAGTTTAATGTATCTGTTTGATCAACCTGTATTTCTTTAAAAGAGTTCGAATAACAGAAGTTTTTATTTAGATTTTCGTAGTTACGTTGGAAATGAAATGAAATGAATGGAGTTTTACGTCCTAATTTTCTACAGTAAATGGGCTAATGAAGACTGGCAACGCCATTCAGGGTACAATTGATTTGGGTAGGTTTATAAGTTAGTGATAGTTTGTATTAAATGTATCATGCACTAATAATAACTGGTGGTTTTGTAATAGTGCCTGTACAGTCAGTGATTCGATTGAAAATTACTTCGATTATTTCTTATAAATATTTAACTAAATTATGAGGATCTATTGATAATCATGATATTGGTTTATTGATCAAATTATCAAGCGTTCAACAATTAATTCAAATACAACCCACACTTTCTCGGTATTGACTGTATCGATAGTTTAGTGTAGAGTTTTAATTATTCCAATAGATATTAATTAGCTATAAGTAATTAGTCTGGTTCACGTTGATCCCGAGTTGATGAGGGCGTGGGAAACTTCAAGTAGTATCATAAATGTACGTTTCTGTGAATCGCCTCTCCTGAAAAACACTTTATCTATTATATCATTGATTAATCATAATATTTTGTTGTTTACTTATTTCACCGGACAACATGCGCCGATGTTCTCACATCACCTTTACGGGGTGTTGGTTAGGATGTTTGGATTTTTAGATTTACAATTTTATATTCAATAGTATTTATGATGTTATTAGAAAAAAGTAACTAACACAAAACAAATCAAGAAACATTTGTCAAGAATCTACAATTCTTCATCGATTCCTGTCCTTAAAGTTCGGTTCCCTTATTTTCATTTATTTATATATATATTCCATTACTGGACGGCTAATACTTATATAAATCGAAAGCAGGGGTTTGGGAAAAATACCAGTTTGTCTCAGAAGTCAATAATTTACTCGTAATTGGCTAATTATCGAGGGACATTTTATGATCGAGTGGTCACTTAAAAAAGATTATCAGGTCTCACAATTGAGAAATGTGGCTAGATTATCACAATCTACTTTATTTAGTGATTAAACAAGGAATCTATTTTTAGCCTTTTCAATCTGATTTCAGTAAATTTGATCCCAAAGTTTTTCTACATCCTCACACAGTCTTAGCACTCAAGAATACTTGATTCATTCATTAGAAACATCAATTAATCAAACAATAAGCATGATTTGACCACGAAAAATAAGTAAAAGCAAAATTAAACTCAGAGCACAAGTCGATCAATTTGGTTGACAAGTGGAGTTTTTCGCTCTTTACTTGGATTTATTGGTTGCAAGTACGATCTAATCCAGATCTATTTATAGTTGTTCAATAAAGTTAAGGCAAAGTACTCATCCATTAACAATACCGACATTGTATTTTAAATGTTACGTAGATTTTGTGAAGAAAATATATTAAACCTCTCGACATTTTATATTGACGCTTTCAATAGATACTTTCATAATGTTGTCTTTATCATTAAAACTATTGACCAAATTATCAGGAATGCGTTTTGTAAGATTTTTTGTTTTAAGTTTCTAGTAATTTGAAGGATTTTAAATGTTGACTTCTCTAAAACTACTTAAACCCCATTATTCAAATCAGAAAATTATAAAAGTTTTGATAGTTATCAAATAAAAGTGTTGTCAACTGAACTCAAGCTATCTCACTAAATACTCGCTTCATATTGTTTTAGGTTTATTTTATTCTCGACAGCCAATGGAAAGTCAGCGTTTATGTTTTCAGTTGTGTCTCTTTTACCAGCATCTGGACTGGACACTTTCTATCGTGTTTGTGTATCCATTTTGAGTTTTAGCTTTCTTTCACGTGCTAGGTTAATTTTTCATTCTTCTGTAATTTTGAGTGTAAATCTATGTCAAGATTACAAAATAAGAGTCACGTCAAGTTTACAGGAAGAGCAAAACCAGCCCAGCGTTCAGTAATTGTATTTCATTTATGGTAAAACTTATGCCTTCAATTACCTATAGAAATGACATATCTCGTTTAAAAAAAAGACAACACAACAAAACACTGCGAAATGCTTTGAAACGTTATGATTGTTTTTATTTCTGGGAAGTTTCAGAGCAATCCACCACAATAACATAAAGTTAATATTTAATTATATCTTGTGAAGTAATACTTAATATGAGAAATTATCGCCCTGTCATTGTTTGTCATATTGATTTAGCTAGGACGATCAGAGAGAACATTATTGTCTGTCCTTCAGTCGATTCTACAAACACTTATATTATATTCCAGGTATTTTCCAGTTGTAACCTTTGACCTTGCAGTTAGCTTTGAACTACCAGTGATCGTTTACCATTGATTGTTGGCCAGCCTGGAACTACAGAGTGATCTTTCGTCTTACAATCGACAATCTCGAAGGCTTCGAATAAAAGTTAAAATAGTCTGATATAGACAGTGTAACGTGGACTATACAGTAATAGACGGTGTAACGTGGACTATACAGTAATAGACGGTGTAACGTGGACTATACAGTAATATACGATGTAACGTGGACTATACAGTAATAGACGGTGTAACTTGGACTATACAGTAATAGACAGTGTAACGTGGACTATACAGTAATAGACAGTGTAACGTGGACTATACAGTAATAGACAGTGTAACGTGGACTATACAGTAATAGACAGTGTAACGTAGACTATACAGTAATAGACAGTGTAACGTGGACTATACAGTAATAGACAGTGTAACGTGGACTATACAGTAATAGACGGTGTAACGTTGACTATACAGTAATAGACGGTGTAACGTGGACTATACAGTAATAGACGGTGTAACGTGGACTATACAGTAATAGACGATGTAACGTGGACTATACAGTGACGGTGTAACGTGGACTATACAGTAATAGACGGTGTAACGTGGACTATACAGTAATAAACGGTGTAACATGGACTATACAGTAATAGACGGTGTAACGTGGACTATACAGTAATAGACGGTGTAACGTGGACTATACAGTAATAGACGGTGTAACGTGGACTATACAGTAATAGACGGTGTAACGTGGACTATACAGTAATAGACGGTGTAACGTGTAAAGTTCTATAGATTAATTTGTACAGGTTAATAGGCAGACAGACTGTTAATGATTGATATAGTATCTACTAGTTAGAGTAACCTGTTGAAGCTGTCAGTCCTCGTGAAGCGTATATGCCGTTCCATGGTGATTTCGGTTCCGTTGTTTGAACTGAAGTATCACAGACTATTTGGGTTATAATAAATAGAAGTCTATATCCATAAAAACTGTTGTTTCTTAATGTGCTGTGATACTTCTAAATGTCTTACAAGGATTATATTTGGGTTATGTTTTCTGGATTTGGAATATTAGGTTGAAATCGTTAAGTGTAAGAGTATTTGACTATTTTGGAACTGTATGCACTGAAGGAATTAGAATATAATCAACATACTGGAAGCAGCACCAGCTGACCAGTTAACCAGAATACAGAAACATCATCCCAGTCTGGAGACAAGTTACCAATGGCTAGTAGAAGTCGAGCTAGAGCGAAAACTAGAGATGGTAAACCGGTAGAGTTATATCTGATCAGAATATCACCAGCCTGTAGAGCCGTGTGGATTTATCTCCTTCAGGTACAGTACTGTGAATTAAATCTAGGGAATTGAAAGGGTACACATGCTACCTCTTTGTACAGTTTGAATCGTTTTTTTTGGTGTTTTTGTTTTTGGCTGAATCGGTCTTGACATCTCATTACGGAAAAGATTTAAGTATTGTGTTTGACTAATTAGACTTAGTTAAGCTAATTAGACAAGATAAATACCTCGTAGGAACTGAAACATTATCAGAAAGCGTAATATAATTTTAAATCTTCAATAGAAACTTGTCGTCTATTGAACTTACACTGCGGTACTTTGAAATGAATATCAGATAAATGATAAAGGTCTAGTCTGTAGGCTACAGTAGTTATTGTTTACAATATTGTGTTTTATTTCATTAATTATTGATTATCAGCAGCAGGTACATTGGTGCATTGTAAAATACAGTTTTAAAGTTAAATGAGATTTATATTTTTATTTTCTGTATTTAATTAGACTAATGACGATGATAGCGGAGATTTCCTCAATTTATTTTCGCTCTAGAAGCTATTTCTCATTTAATATTACCCCAATAAAAAATGTGGTGTTCTGGAAAGGCGGAAGTTGTTCTGTATCGCTGGCAACACGAGCATTGGATGATTCATTGGTAAATATATGCCCACATCAAGATAACGACCGTTAATATGTCCGCTGGTCGGAGGTACAGCTCCGTCTTGACAGCGTCGTAGAGGAAAGCTTATTGGTATTAAATGTAACGTTGACACTGACTTGTCGTAACAATATACATGGATACGATAAAAAGAAAAGTTAAATCATGTTTTGAAACTTATTGTGGTATATTCACTTCTTGTAGATTGTAAATATGAAGACCAGGAATTAAATCTGTTTTTGAGGCGATTAGTTCGGCCATGAATTTGATATTGATTACTAATCTACTGAGGAATGTCGTGAACATTGACCAGCAGTTGCTATTATTTCACAGAAACCAGATCCGTTATGAAGAGCCATTTCTTTATCTGGAAATAAAGTGAAACCTCTGACAACTTCCTTCAGTTTTATAGTCATATTGATTATTGAGACAAAACGGACCAGAGATATCCATTAACTTGATCATTACCCAATCAATCAGTCATAGATTAGTCATCGATTAGATGGCAGTGTTTGTAAGAAATGTCTTGTTCAATAATTATTGATATTTAAACAAGTTGGTAGATAATAGCGGGTGATAGTTGTTAACATGAATATCGTATATCAAACATGGTGTAGGAAGAGTAGTTACGCATCATTCTTTACATAACATTGTCCATTGTCAATTTAATAACTTGAATAAGGTGTTTGATATGATTTAACTTAACGGTCTGATGATGTATTTATGTATAATGTAAAGTGACGTTTACGGTAGTCATCTTAATCATATAGTAATCGGGTTGTTGTTTATTTTAAGATATTCGAGATGTTTCACACAAACTTTATTGAGTACCATTTTAATATTCCCGTCATCATTCAAAATGGTTGTAAATCATTTTATCAATCAAACAGTTGAACGAAGAGAGCGGCCACCATTTTATTAATCCTAGGAACTCGGTTAGTCACCCTCCTATATCAGGGGAATCCTTTCACTATGTCGGTATTGGTTCATTCAAACCTCTGATTGGATCAACATAATATTATTTCACTCACCAAGACTGAACTTTACTTTCTGCTAAACTGTAATTCCATCAGATGATTACTAACGACTACAGCAATGCCATGGTATTTTTTTTTACAACAGTTCAACAGTTGATGGCAGGTCTTGACATATTTTGTATCCTTTTTCTTTGCAGAATCGAATACCACATGTATTAAAAGATGTCAATTTTGGAATCGACAGTGAAAATTTACCAGACGTGTTTTTACAACAACCACATCATGAAGTACCTTTACTAGTTGATGGAGATGTCGTTATTTTTGAAGGGTATGAAACTTTTGATTCATTTTGTTCAATTCTGCTCCAAATTTATTTAATCAATTCATTCTATTGTTTTATTGAATTACCTAATTTGCATCGCATCAATATTAATTCAGTACTTTGATGAGAAAGAAAATTTCATTGTTTTACAAGGGTCAAGGGTGAAGAAAAACCAGAAAGCCCTTGATAAAAACAAGCAAACATCGGTGAAATCAAATAAAAGGGTGTAAAATGAAAGGGTGTAAAATGAAAGGGTGTTATTTTTTGCGGAATCGGACTGGACAAATGACAATGCAAATTTATGTACATTATTTGAATTTATTTCCAGTCCAGCTATTTTGAACTATTTAGCTGAACATTATACTCAGCATGCTGGTTTTGGACCGAATTTACAGACGAGAGCTCTAACACAATCAGTTATAAGTTGGGCCAATAGTGAACTTCATAGGTAAGTAGAAATTTAGATACTTTCTTGTGACAAAACTTGAAAAAAATATTGAAACAATATTTAATATTTTGTACCCAGTTATTTTTATCATGAAATAATATATTTGTTATATCGAAGTTATCTAAGTTTCTGATGACTGTACCGAGAGCTGGTGTTATCTGGAACGTGTCTTCAATGCAAACACTCACCAATAACAGGGAGTCACCCGATCTTACAGAAAGGTCGATAGGTCGAGCAACACAACAGCAATAATGAAATTTAATTCAGTATGTTTGAAAGTTATAGAAGTGTTACCACAAAATCATGACCACAAACAATATGTAAACAATATGTAAACAATATGTAAACGATATGAAACATTGGTAGCAGTTAATGAACTTTGCATGTGAGGAAGTATATCAATCATAATTGAGGAAATATTTCATAATTGGTGGTATCAGATGTCCATTGCTGTTCAATATTAATAAATATATATGAAGTTATAGTTCATATAGTTGAAGGAATGTTTACATTTCAAGGGAGAGAACTGATCATAAAACTTACAAAACGTAAATATAAAATATGAGGAAGTATATAAATGTACGCATTCCCTACCTTGTGCCACACCTTCCATTGCTGTTCAATATTTCACACAAAATAGTGAGGCAAAACAAAACCTAGTATTATGTTAAATTATAGAAACAAATTAATATTTAAATCATACTGGTTTTATATTTCAGAGTAATCGGTCATGAATACATCTACCCACAATTCCTAGAGAAATACGCCATTCCATCAGAGCGGTTAAATAACGCAATGGTGGAATATGGTCTGAAACATGTTTCTCAAAAACTAGAAATCATCGAAAATCGTTATTTAAAGAAAAATAAGTTTTTAACCGGCAAGACAATAACAATGGCGGATATTTATGCAGCAACAATCGTTCTACAGTTACAATGGACCGGGACCACGTCAAGAATGTGGCCGAACATTATACAGTGGCTAGCTCGGGTTCAGCGGGAAGATTTCTGGGAAACTGTACACACAGCACATAGAGATTATGTTGAGGAACTGACTAGCGGACGGTTTTCACATTGAAGTGAAGTGTTAGGCAATTGCTTAATATCAGCCATTGTAAACAGTAGTTGTCTTTGAGTTAAAAAATTGTTAATTTTATTCAGCCCTCAAAGTTAACAGTAGATGTCTGCGAAATAGAAACTTGTTGACGTTTTTCCAGCCTCGGATATAGGTTGTTCTTTAACCCGTCCTCCAGAATACAATTCAATAAATTAAATTTTCTTGTATCTGAGAATAAAAGATCGTAGGTAAGATTTGTACCTGCCCTGAAACGCGATGTTATGAATTACAACAACATAGAGATTTACCGTTTATAAACGTAGACTACTGATTTTCCAATCACTGTAACCCTAACCCTAACCCTAAAACCCAAAACTTAAAAAAACAAAACCTAACCCTAACCCTAACCCTAACCCAATCACTGTAACCCTAACCCTATCACTGTAACCCTAACCCTAACCCAATCACTGTAAGATTGTCATGTTGATTTAAATCATTGTAAAGTGTAAAATTAAATCGAGTTGCGTCCCTTCGTTTTATGTGTACACTTTCATGCACTGAACCTTCTACTTTCTGATCTAGTTTTGCGATAGACAAAACACTATCGATTTTTCCATAATGGAAATTATGCCTTGCGTGAGATAGAGCAAAACTTTTCGAAGTTCAGACGACGTTTTATTAAAGTAGAATATGAAACTGTATTGTCTTTTTTTTTCTTTTTTTTAATTCGTGATCATTTTACCAGTTATTAAACAAATTTATACATAAATAAAATATTATAGATCAGAATTGTCTATTTTAATGCCCGTGGAACCTCTTTCAAACATCCTCTTTACAACCTCCACTATTTTAAACCTACCCTTTTTTTTAAATCCTGTGCGGCATGTGTGGTCTGTTGTAAAAGTGATTTCGGTCCGTGGTAAATTCTTGTACTTTTGTCATTCTGATGTCTGTAAATTCTAGATTCAACAGAATATGTCAATCTGTTTTCAAGATTTGAATTTATTGAATTCTGAAGAATCGTAGTTCATGTTGGTCATTTGAATGTTATGCCCTCTTTTGTTGAACACAACTTCATGTGTACAAATAATAAATAACTGTTCCAGTGGTTGACATTTTCATGAAGCCAATCCAAGACTCTCAGTAGTATTTTGTAGTTATATTTAAAATCATACGAAACTAAATTTCAAAGTTCACGTCTGAAAACATTGTAGATAGAGAATAAGTCAGTGGTATAGATACATGTCGGCCTGTCCTGGTATTATAGAATTACAGAGAGTTTTGTTAACTTTAGTTCAGTCAAAAGTCAACAGGAAACAATTTAAACTTTTTTAAAAACTGATGTAGGTCTGCAGGTTTATTGTTTTAAAATGTCAACCAAGTGAAGGGAGATAATTCTAATGAGTTTTAACTGCTAATTTATGTTATCTGTAGGTCAGGGGATTGGTGTTTTATAAATTACACCTGTGGAGTCTGGTCTGTAGAGTGTTAATGTGGCATGTTTAAATACTTTATCTACCCATTAATATTCTAGAATTCTGGATTCCATCTTATACTAGGGGCTTAAAATAATATAGATTCACAGCTGGGCTAGCACCTCGACAGTTTAACTGGAATAGTTTTAATAACCCTATTTGATTTTCCCTTGTTGACCAATCGTAATGAATAATCTCGAAACTTGCAGAATTAAACAATCAGATTGCTGGCCGAGCTTTCATTGGGACTTTGGTAGCTAATATAACTACCATAACAAATTGTTTAACTGTATTCAGATAGTATATTAATTTTAAAAGTCTGTAATATAGACTACACGCAGTATTGATCAAATATTGATCACAGGTTACTAATTCCCCCTTCAGGTTCCTTTAGTTATAAGTCGCATGTAACAACGATAACAAACTGTTTAACTGTATATACAGATAGTATATTCTGGTATTTAATGATGTTTTTCTCTGAGCTATAAAAATAAATGTCGACAATAAAATCATCTTTCCTGTCGTTATAAAGTTGTTTTTTACTCAACCTTGATTTTATAATGGTAGCTTATATTATGTCAATGAAGGTTATGTGGTTTTGTAAATTCCACAGTCTAAAATGTATATTAAAAGTCCTACGAACCGATTTAGATAATGTTAATGCGATTTCATGTAACTTTATGAATATTTTATTGATGGATTTCGGTCAAGTTTCAGTGTTCGACGGAAAGAATCATATTCTAACAAATTTTGCCCAAAAAGCCCAGAAAACAACAATACCGCAATGCAATTTGTTTTGTATCTTGTTTTGTCTAGACTAATTGATGGTGCGGAGACAGTAAACTATGATAAATATCTAATGAATTATAATTTTACATCACCTTGGGTTCTAGTTAATGCAATGTTTAAACGCCATGCATTATATAGACGAATGGTGAGAAATCATTTTTCAGAAACATCATACAGCTAATGATGATAGAATAACTTTTTAAGAATTGTTTAGCTACTACAGTGTGCTATAATTGTTGGTATATTATGATTTGTAAGTGGTGTCTATTGGCGTAGTACTGAATGTATACATAATACTGTAATCTTCACATAGGTTTAATTGTGAATTTGATTCTTAATAAACTACTCTTATTTCGCAATTTGGTTATGATTTTTGTATTGGGTGGGTAGGGCTAAAGTTACTAGTCTTCACCTGACGATAGGAATACAAAAAGGTCATCAGCGATCACTTGTATGTTTATATTACATCACATTCTATTCTGCCACTATTTAAATTGTGCTATAAAATGATGACTTGATTAACATGTTTTTATTTTTAAACTTTATTCCAAATGCGGACAAAGACCTATATTTATTTAAAATGAAATGACAATACGCATTAAATTGAAAATAGCCTGTCAACAACTTAAAGTTTTGTTTTGACGATGTGTTGAAATTTATGATAATTCATTGTAATGCATTGCTGAAAAACATCAACCTCAGTATAGTTAAATAATTATTAATGAATTTTATATTTATCTAACACCCCGTGGGCCAGGAAAGGAGGTCGGTGAATTAATGATATTGTTGAAAATTTAAAAAATAACTTTTATACCAAAATACATGTGTGTATATATCAACTAATTAAGTATTCACTTTAAAACAGTAATTTGATGCCCGATGTACTGGAGATGATATAGAGAACCTTTTTACACTGAATCTGAATCAGGATCTCATGAGTTTTAAAAGAGTTTTTGAATCCTATTGGGCAAATGATAAATTAATCCAATTTAAATTAACTGAAGTAGATCAAATTCCATCTTTAGCGATTTGGCTTATGTCCGATGTTACTTTCCGTTTAAGATATTTATGAAACAAAACTAGCGGGGTGAACTTTTTCGTTTACGTTTAGCTTCCTTTGATCACTGCAATCACGTTTGAGGTTACCGTGATGAGACAAGAGTCTATGCGGTGGAAGGAGGGCAAACCATCACGGCAAGAAAAACAAATCGAACATCTTATGGTTTGACAGTTAATACCTATTTCTTTAGTTATAAACGTTATATTGCTTGTAAGTATACAAGTTGGTTGAAATGCAATAACTTTTTTGAACCTAATTTCTTACTCTAAATAAAACTCATCTTTCTTGTTGATTGTTCTATTGTGCATAAAACGTCTTATTAGTTGTAGTACTTTCCACATGACGGAGGACGGACGTTTAAACCAATTTTATTTAGAGGCTGCACATTACACACCTTACCTAAAAGAATATTGAATTTTAGAAAGTGAATTTGATTGGTTTTAACCGGTAGAGTGACTGAAAGAGGCTGGTTGGTAATTGATGTTAAATATATTCGCGGGTATAAATAGTCGCATAATCTAATATTACTGTTATATTTAACAGGGTTTGTCGTACGTGGGGTGGATACCGTACTCATCTTTAATAATCATTACACAGTTATCCTTCTTGATAAGACAATTAATTCGATCATATATAACTATCAGGTGTAATAAGTTATAAGTTTATTATTAAGACTGGACAGTAATCGCTATACATGACAATCAGTGATAGTATTTATTAATAAACAGTCAAGTCGTGAACCAATAGAGAGCTGTGTCGTCATATATACTCAATCTCTCATTCACAGGTGACTAGTTATTCTCTAAGGTGTCTTTATGACAAAACGAAAGGTAGAAATACAAGGGAGCTCGAGCGGGGAAAACGACGGTTTTCTACAAAAAGCCAGAATGGTGACAAGTCTAGATGACATTCAATCTGTGAAATTTTGGAAGGCGGTGATTGCCGAGTTCCTGGGTACCATGTTATTGGTGCTGGTAGCATGTGGTTCCTGTATTACTCTAGGAAAGGCTACAGCACCAACTATTACTCAAATTTCGCTGTGTTTTGGACTCAGTGTGGCCACTATCGTATGGAATATCGCCCATGTTAGTGGTGGACATATCAACCCTGCTGTAACTGTGGGAATGTTCGCTGCAAGGAAGATCAGTTTAGCTAGAGCCTGTTTCTATGTCCTGTTCCAGTTAGTCGGATCTATTGTAGGGGCGGGTCTGTTAATGGCGATGACTCCAGTTGAAAAACATGGGACACTGGGAATGACATTAGTGTCAGACAAAATTAACATTGGACAAGCAGTTGGAATTGAATTCTTCATCACCTTTATATTGGTATTTACTGTGTTCGCTTCCTGTGATAGCAAGAGAAAAGATTTGAATGGTTCCATTCCTTTAACGATTGGCCTGTCGGTGACAATGTGTCATCTGTTTGCGGTAAGTTGAATTAGGTATTAATCAACCCCCTCCCTCTCTCCCACCAACCACTTCCTCGTCAACCAGAAAGGTTACACTAACTTGTAGTTTTACAAACGTTAGTGAAAAACAAGTATTAACTTGGAACATAGAACATACTTGTGAATCAAATTTATATTTAGATATTTCCCTTGTTTTACCATTCTGGCTTATGGTAATCTTCTCAGAAACATGCTGATTCATCTGTCCGAATTTCACCTTATGTGCACAGTCTGTTTTAACTTGATATTTTATATGAGTATCAATGGTTTTATCACTCTATTCGACCTTGTATTTATCTTGTTATATTTTACATATCATTATAAAACATGTTTAGATAGAGTTTTATTTTTATTTTCGTATTTACATAGTTATTAGATGATGCATGGCTCGCATTTTGTATACGCTATTAGAAATGTTTTGTTATGTATTGTCGCTTACCTTTTTACGTATTTATTATAGAAGTTACTCAATCCCCTATTTTATGATAAATGTATAATTTTAAGATATTCCACGCTTGATAAATTTCGCTATCTTTTTAGTATAATTAGAGTCAAGTAGAATGCATCATCCCGATATAGTGTATATACATGTAAATAGAAAGCTTGACTTAATATTTTTGAATTATTTAACACTAATACTCGCGTACATGTTTTTTGTATTATAAAAGTCGTTTATGGTCAAAATGCGTCATAATATTCGTGAAATAACTGAACATTTTGAACATGCGACGTTTCAACGATAATATCTTCATAGAGACAAGAGTAACATCGTCGAAACATCGCAAGTATTTTATTTAATTAATTGTTATTATTAATAGTAAGTTTTAATCTTGCAATAAAGAGTCTAGAAACATAATCTATAAAAAGTGACTCTCTAATCTTAAGTGTTTGTGGACGCTACAAGTAAGAAGTAATAAAAACTTTCGGATTGCAATAGATGGGAACAGAAACTGAAAATATTTACCGGCTATAAAATGGCTTCATAATCCCTCTATATTTATTTGTTCAATGTTTCATCAACTTATAATGTTGACATAGATTAGACCACTTCAGTTTTTTTCTGAATTAAATTATCTTAATTTAGTAAATAAGTTATATTCAAACTTTATAAAGATATAATTTTAGTTGATTCGTCCAATATTGTTAAGCTCATAGCGATGTACTTTAATCTCTGAATACACAAGAAAACATACTTTAAGTTCATTTACATCCTAATACAACAACGATAGACGTTACTGTATCGCCCTTTAGATTCCTCAATACACATTTTGAAGACATTACATTATAAATATTGTGCATTTAAAACCTGACAGAGAAACAGGAAAAACTTAGTTTTATTTCAGAGTTCAGAGATATATGTCCTGTAATGAAACGAAATGATAGAGCTCTTCATTCAACTTATCTGCACCAGAATGAGCTAATAAAGGTGATGGATGTGTTATAGAGAAATGGTCTAATAACAAGGTTTCGAACTGAAGGAACTGAACGATATGCATCATGAGCTCCGCGTTTATCCTTGAATCATTATTCGACTTGTTGAATCAATCAAGGTTCAAGATGGAGGTATAATCCACAGTTTACATTATTATCATTTATCTGTAATTACGATACCGCGATACCCTGACCAAATCGTGTTTGGAAACAGCTAAAATACTTTTCAGACTTCAGTCTGATTCGACCAGTTGAATTTATTTTCTAAAATCACTGTAAGATAGAAGTTCGATTCATATTTTTTTATGATGGGCATTCACGTAAATCTTGCCAATATACGCCATAGTCGCAAATATCGAGATCGGTTTTCCAGTTGCTGGATGTGTTTTTGTCTTTGAGTATACATTTCTGTTTTAATCACAGTTGATATTTAATAATTTGTCACAAGTTATCTTGTCAATAAGGACTAGTCTTTTAAAGCCCCTTTTCTTTAACATTTAGTCACCGTCTCATCATCATATTTACTTCACTTGAATGACTTCACGGGAAACTTGTCAAATAAATCAAATCTCAGTCAGTCACTAATTATTACTGAGGTTATTATAATATAATTAATATATATTATTTTTTTGATTTTCGCTTGTTAGTGATGCAGGCTGGAAGATTTGTCATGGATAAGTTGTATCCTTGTTTATGTTGCAAGCGATACACGTGCGGACTCCTGTCAATTAGAGAATGATAATGTTCAGGCAGAAATTTTCAGATCCCTAGGTATTCAAAAACTGATAATTTTATACATTTTAATGCTCAAGTCGTCAGTTTAGACTAAATAGGACTAATGACAGTACTGTATTTATCTTGAATTCAATGGTAACAGTTTAAACATATCAGCTTAAGGAAACTGACATTTCTGTACTAAGATTAAGGCGGTCGATATGAAAAGTACAATTGATTCACAACCCATTCGCTTATTTCATGGTCCAGGGATCACTAGTTTGTAAAGGATATATTATGAAATACTATATAGTAGTACACTGATATATTAATTATTATTACTATAAGTCTCTATCCGTTCCCTGTACTATTATATGTGTACTTCAAAGTCAAGATGCAGCGTGGAAATATTAGTTAATACTGACTTAGGTTCGATGCAAGTTTAAGATCCCTAGACAACTTGGAATCTTTGACTTTGCCTATAACAGGGTTACTTGACACGTAGACTGATTTGTGTGGTCAAGCATAAATTGATCTGGTTGTATCTCATGATGTTGACCTATATAGTAGTGGTGAGTGTTGCGCGCGAAGCAGACCATGCTTACTCTTTTCAAAACACCTGATGATACACTTCTATACTACCTTAAGACTCGAGTGTGCCATACTTTTGATGAGATTTTGATTAACCGCACTGTGTAGCTTATTAGAATAAAAGTACACAATAAATGTCAAGGTAGTCTGACAAATTTTATGAATTGATAAAAACATCCTTTGTGAATTGGACAAACGTTGACATTCTCATGGGTTATACTAGCCACGCGTGCGATACCTTTTCAGTCATTAACATTTTCAGTCATTGCGAACGACTGGGGGTCAACGCCAGACAGCCCCTGGGAGGCAATGGCACTTGTTAGATCTAATTAAGAATTCATGCTGTATGCTTTGAGAGCAATTTTATCAGCAACAGCGATATTAGCCTATTAATTCGATTTTTGACAGTCGCTGGATCTTCAACATGAAGAACCTGTAACACGTGAGGTCTTGATTAATGTAATTGTACTAAAAGGACAGCTAGAGGCTTTTTAAAATGTGTTAATAGACTTGTTTTACAAAACTCAAGTCTGTATGCCCTGACAGCTCAATCCAAGGTTGTAAAACTTTCTATGTTGGTCTTTATTTAACATAATAAACACTTACATTCATCTTTCATTTTGTCCTTGAAATTGATAAAAGATTTATAATAATAAAATAATAAATAATTCATGTTTTAGGGTGCTTTATACTAGAGGTGTTTTGTTCAATGTCTCAGATATAAGGGGCAGAATAGGGTACAGGATTATCCATTCAGTAGAGTTGAAACCTTGAATACGTTGATCTGTAAACATTTCTTCAATTCAACTCATTACGGGTCATACTGACACACAAATGTCGACAAATCTATCACCAAAAATTTGAGGTTAACGTCCACCTTTTTGGCACTTAAAGAATAGTTTTCTAGTGCAGTAGTATTAATGCACGCGGAAGATGTTTTGTAGGGTAGAGGATTATCTATAAAGTAGGATTGGGATAGGGTAGAGGATTATCTATAAAGTAGGGTTGGGATAGGGTACAGGATTATCTATAAAGTAGGGTTAGGATAGGGTACAGGATTATCTATAAATTAGGGTACAGGATTATCTATAAAGTAGGGTTAGGGTAGGGTACAGGATTATCTATAAATTAGGGTACAGGATTATCTATAAAGTAGGGTTGGGATAGGGTACAGGATTATCTATAAAGTAGGGTTAGGATAGGGTACAGGATTATCTATAAAGTAGGGTACAGGATTCTCTATAAAGTAGGTTAGGATAGGGTACAGGATTATCTATAAAGTAGGGTTAGGATAGGGTAGAGGATTATCTATAATGTAGGGTTATGATAGGGTATATGATTATCTATAAAGTAGGGTTAGGATAGGGTAGAGGATTATCTATAATGTAGGGTTAGGATAGGGTACAGGATTATCTATAAAGTAGGGTTAGGATAGGTTACAGGATTATCTATAAAGTAGGTTAGGATAGGGTAGGGTAGAGGATTATCTATAAAGTAGGATTAGGTTAGGGTAGAGGATTATCTATAAAGTAGGGTTAGGATAAAGTACAGGATTATCTATAAAGTAGGGTATAGGATTATCTATAAAGTAGGGTATAGGATTATCTATAAAGTAGGGTATAGGATTATCTATACGGTAGAAAATTGAAAAGGTTATAAGTACAATACAGTGAGAAGATCAATCTGTTTAAATTAAATAAATATGACGGTGTTTTAATCTGATATATAAGTATTAGAGGTTAAAGTCCAACTTTTGTGCACCCAAGGCATAATTTTCCAGTGCAGCGGTATTATCTCCTCTTCAATTTCAAAATATTAAGGCATCCTTTTAAAAATGCAGTATGTGGATCACGTGGGTCAAGGTATTCGCTTTCATTTGAATCAAATTTCATTTCAGTGCAGTAATTGGAATCAGAAGAATGTTTTCTGCATTTTTTTTTCTGATGAAATACAATAGGATGATTATTATATATACATACACAACAGACCCCCTTTATATCTCAAATATCAATTAGAAAAACAATGAATTATTTTGATGGAAATAATAGACTGTATGGGTCATATCTGAGACTTGTTTTCGTAACCTGAATGTTACAACAACATGTCGATTTTCTATAGTGATTGGGTTACTTTATTCAGAGTAAGATAACAGTAAGGTATAAGGTATGCATGTTTAATTTAACAGATGAAATTTTATATTTGATACCTCTATTAAATAATAAAAGTACATCATCTTCAGAATAC